ATGGGTGCAAACCAACATGAAATCAACAAGATATTATGAAGAAGGGGTGATAATGTAAATGCAATAATCTTTTTTGGTTTGTCGAGGCAAGGAAGTTTTGATTTTGGGATATGAAAGGCTTATGTTGCGTTTGATACGTAATAATGAAATCAACGAAGGAATAGAATCAGAGCAAGAATAGAATGGAATAGACATTGTCATGCCCATGTTTGGCGTCTATTTGGATTAAGTGTTGGAATGGATATGTTTGGATGGACCAATTTTTTTTTTTTGCTAGAATGGAATATAATTTAACCAAAATACCCCTAATGGCAATAGATTAGTAACTACTTTTGATAAAAAAGATATCATAATCATGTACAAAGCGAGTATGATGGAAAATATAATTAAATTCGATAACAAACTTAACAGATAAAAATAACACAACTACATATTTTCAATGTCTTACATAATGCTGCCTGTATAGTGTTTCATAGATAAAAGAAATCCAAAAATATATCATCTAAACATGCATCATCCTATGTAAACAAATATAACTCAGAAATCAACCCTTAATATCCCTCTAACTAACGCTACTCTCTCGACCTCCAAAATGTTAACAAACTAGTCAATAAAATCAAAGTCATGAAATAAAACACTCGACACTTTGAGCCTTTCACTCATGAAAAAATCGGGTAACATCATTGAGTCTTTGTAAAATCTTCTTCTTCATGTCACATACTACAATGTCAATACCAATTGCACGAGCAAAAATAGTTATTGCCTCCTTAATCTATGTGCTAATGAGAGAAATAGCACTCATTAACCCTTCAACTACCACCTCCTCTATACCCCTACTCATTTTCTTTAGCCTCGCACTCCCAACCTTCTCAAGCATAGATGGTCGCCGCATAGATGACGCGGATGTATTCATACCATATGATCCATGTAAGAATAGTTCATATTCAATGTTTCCTTCTTCTCTCTAACTCCTCCACCACATCAACCGGGTCATGCACCTCCCCTCCATACCAGTCGCCTAGTTCTTTCCAAATATAATACACAAATCCTCATAAAAGGGAAAAGATTTGTCTCTAAACTTTTATGATCCATTGTGGCTCTACAATACAAACAAATATAATATTAAAAAATATGTTAAACACAAGAAATAATTATCCATTACATCAAAACAGGAACAAAAACATCAGAATCATAGTAGATTTATTTCAATGAAGCAGAAGATCATAAAAACAAATAAGACAAAAACATAAATAGAATAATACTGCATGATGCACCTAACTCTGTTAATTTCTCTCTCCTGCCATAAATCATTGTGTAACTTATGTATATAACCATTCTATATAAGCAGCATTACACACATATATATAGATGGCATTACACTTCATCATTCATTATGTAGCTTAGAGTAGCATATTTATGTTAGAAATCTAACTGCCTAACTAATCTAACTTAATTATTAAGTTCTTGGGTTCTATTTCATATTGTTGATACTTTCCAACTAACTCCTGAAGAATACATTGAGCTGAATACTGAATACTTTCCGACAAATTATTTTAAAGAAAATCGTAAAATCTTATAATTCTAGGTTAAATATGAGTATTTTGGACTAACTTTAGCTATAGGTTACTCAAAAAGTAAATTTTTTTGAAGAAAATTGCAATATCTCATAGTATAGGTTAAATCTGAGTATTTGGACTAAATTTTAAAATTGAATGAGATTTGAGTTCGTCTTGGCTGATCCTTGTCATAAAGCTTCGTTAAGAGAAAAGTTCCGATACAGTAGAATCGGGCTTGTGGAGACTCAGATATGAAAGTGTGTGTGAAAGAGAGGAAACATATCTCAGAGTGTGTACGTGAGAGAGAGGAGCTCAAAGAAGGGAGGGAAAGTGAGAGAGGAGCTCAGAGAAGGGAAGGAGAGAAGTGTGTGCAATGATATGGACGGATCGAGTTTTTATTTCTTTCATGTGGATTTGGCTGATTACAGTGTGGGATGGGAATGAGTAATACATTGCTAAACTTGGTAATGTCTGATCCCATGATTTGTGGGATTAGATATTCCGTTAGAATAATAATAAAATTGAAATCCTACAAACTAAATATTAGAATCGACATTACCATGGGAATGCTCTTTTCATTCCTAATACCTGATACCACCTGCAAATATAGTAATGGTTTTTTTTTTTTTTTTTTTCACACACCTTGGGTGTGGTATGGGTTCTATTTATAGACTTGCACCTCTTCTCTATCAACTAGTTTTTTATCTGTGTCGAAATGCAAATCTTCCAAAGGAAACTTTCTTTCAGTTGCATTCAAATTTTCAATAAACTAAAATTTTTTAGAAAATTAATTATTGTTACTCACTTTCCACACAATTCTAAAAATGAGAGCCACGAAACTAGAAGATCCTGACTTTCTTTATCACACACTTGCAAATGTTAACATGAATTGATTTTCTCCTCACTCCTATCTCCTCCTTAAGGTACCCCCCCTATTTGTGAGTTTGGGTGGGAATATAGTGATCTAATTCTAACCCTTGTTAATTGACACATAAGACATCCTTTTAGTATGAATCATGTGTAAAGGCATCACACCACTATCAAAGCCTCGCGAATGAACCAGATAGCCAACCACACCAAAATGCACAAACACTGCGACCGGGAACACCTTCGGCAGCACACCCAATGCCACCATTACCAAACCACTCGAACTCCCAATTACACGAGAAAATATTTATTATAACAGTATCACCACGTCAGTATTATTACGTTGTGTAATAAGTGGATGCTACTCTTTATTTATTTTGAACAACGCTGCTCTTTCAAATAACTACAATCTATGTAAGAAAGTAACCATCACGTATAAAATGACGTAGTGCCCCCTACCATTTGCCTTGGCTTGCCTATTCCACATACTTTGATGATATTTTCACTTAGCACCCCCTTTAATTTTTTAATTTTTCCTTAATCCTTGCATTTTCGTATCTTAAAAAATATTATTAAATATGATATTCTTTTGTTTTAACAAGTCAAAAAAAATACATGATTTATGTGTTGAATTTAAATGGTCATTCGAATTAGTGTTGTTTGTTAAGTTTGGGGATTTTTTTCGGTTATGCATATTATTAAAAATATGATTTTAATAGAATTGATGATGATTATTGATGGACAATTTGATCATGTATATCAAAAGGAAATTACTGTAAAATTCTGCACCAAAATAGATGATTTTTGAGACATGATACGACTTTAAGGTTTACTTAGATAGGTGATTGAGTTAAATGCACTGCGACACAAGTATTGTGTCATTTCTTTTTATTCCATGTCTTAGTAAGGTTAAATAATGTTAGATGTATTTTCTGCTAGTAATTAAGTTTTGATTACTAACATGTTTCTTATATTTGCATTTAAAAATAGAGTTTTTTGGGTGTAGGTACAATTTTTTAGATTTATTTGAGCAAAAATGTTTGGATAAGTTGTTTATTCTATTAATTACAATTTTATAAAACTTTTTTGTGTTTAGGTACAAAATTCAAATGAATTAAAAACATTTTTACCTAAACACCCTCCCTTAAATTATGGAGTCATCATTGACAGTTATTTGAGGAAATAAATATGTAAAGATTAACAATAGTAATGGGAGATAAAATAGGGGCATTTATGATCAAAACCCTTCTTCTTCGACAACAAGATCTATGGCAATGAGATTTGATAAGAATAACACAAATTATATGTAAATAAACACTAAATTTTTCAAAAAAAAAAAAGGAGAATTGACCAAGATATTTTGTTAGATATTATGTATTATTCGTTGTTAGGATGTAGAAAAAAAAGAACTTTTTGTTTTGGGTGTAACTATTTTTTAATGAGTGTAAATGTTTTTTAATGTGTGTAACTATTTTTTTAATGGGTGTAATTATTTTTTTAATAGGTGTAACAATCACAATCTCATTAAATTGTTAAGGCATGATGGTGTTACAATATCGCGATACTAAATGGTGCAACTATTTAATTTATGTAAACAACTGAATGACAAATTGAGTTGGTGCCATAATTTTTTTTAATTGTTTTGTGTAAAGAACACATGAATAACTGTTTAGTGTATTATAGGATAATTGTAACTGATTGATGTAACTGATTAGTGTAATTGTGTTGTTGTAATATTAATATAAATAGAGTTAGAAAAAATAGGGAGAGAGAGAGAAAAAAAAAATTGTTAGAGAAAATATATTCCTATTTTACCCACCATTAATTGATTGTAGCCAAAATATATGGAAGGAATACAAAAGGTTTCAACCCATCAGTTATTTACTAAATAACAATATTGTCATTTTTTTTAAAATATGCACTTTAACCTAAATAAGATTTTGTATTATATTTTTGTTGAAATAAATCTAAAAAATTATACCGGCTTCCAAATCGAGCTTAAAAATATATCCAAGTGAAATTCTGGCTTCTCCACTCATGGCCAAAAGTCCAAGAGGAAGTTGGGCCGAGCTTGATCCAATATAAAATGAGCCATTATAGAGTTGGTATAATTACTTATTTATTCTTGAGTTGATTTAAAAAAATTGAAATAACAAAAAAAAGTCCAATAAAATAAATAAAAATAAAATCAAACCTATTACCGATGACTAAACCCATTATCCAAAGCCCCAATCCATGACCCATGCTAAATCTAATCCCAACTTTGCCCCCGGATAAATTAATAAACAACAAAAAAATAAAAAATAAAAAGTTTTTACATGTGATAGAATCTTATTGGATTAAATAAATGTGCAATATTGAAATGTCTTTTTGGCACAATAACGGACCCTGGAAATCAGTGTTACAAGACGGCAAGCAAAGAAGTTCCTTAATTGGAGGGTCCAAGCCACGTGTCCAAACACAAATGACCACCTTTGGGGTCCTTTTCATCCACCTAAACTCACCAACAGCTCAAACCGCTGCAGAAATCTATGTTTTATTTATATATAACCATTGTGCTTTTTAGTGTGGTGTGGTGTGGTGTGGGTGTGGAGAGAGAGAGAGCGAGATCATGGCCATATCAACTAGCTGCTGCCTCAACCTCTCCCCTTCACCTCCCAATTCTAGGCCCTCTTCCCTCCCTTTGAAGACAACTCAAATAGCATGGTATGTTCACCGTCACATCTCTTAATTGCTCCATTCTACCATCTAACATAAATTTCTTGGTAGCATGAGCCATCTTTGGGTAATCCTTATGACTCACTTGTGAAAAAGTATCGGATGCTAAGTTATTGACTCACCTAACTAACATATGTGGACAAAGATTACAAATTTTGTTGTAATCTCGAGTTTAAAAGGCGTATGATTGACATTCCAAAGAAAAAAAATTACGACGAATTCTTCGTTTATAACTTCTGGGCTATTTTTATGCAGGCCAAGTAGTGAAAGATCATGGGGGAGTCGGTGCGTAATAGGAGTGGCATGCATGATCATTGGTTTGGAGATGGGAAGTTCAATAGGCAATGAAGAAACTGCAATTGCCAGTGACATACAGCTTATAATAGTAAAATCAAGACACGAGGTTCAACGGTGGAGTGACAAAAGGGCTTGTCCGCCTTGGCAGGTGAATTCATTGAAGTTCAAAAAATGTACCGTAGTACATAGTTGGCATTTTGTTTGCAGCAGTAGTAGTACTGTGTGCAGTACAAGGGGAAGTACAAGGACGAGGAAGTTTTGATGGGTCCAATAGAAGACCACAAAGTTTTAGATAATAGTATTTTTTTTGAATTTAAAATATTGACTTGATTAATTAATTGTTGTGATTACTTTAATTATTAATTTTAGTATTTATTGAGTTTTATTATGTATTTAATAATTGTGATTAATCAAGTTAATAAGTCATATCAGTAATTTAAATTTAAATAATATTTTTCTTTAGATAAATCCTGCATATGGGCTACCAATCAATCGAGTTGTGTGGGTTTATATAGGAGTGATGATTTCTGATACAATACGAAAATATAATTTAATATCGACACGAAACTAGCAGGTTATTGTTGACTATTTCTCGACATAAATACATATATGACACGAATAATTAATTGAAACGATTAACATATTTAAGTAGTATTATAAGAATAAAATTTTAAATTTTTATTATATTTTATCAAGTATTAACCTAATTCTTGTACAAAAAAAGAAGATATTTTTACTCATTTTTTTAATTATATTTATTAAGTTAATTTGTAGTTTATAGAAAAAGTATAAATATAGGTTTGAGTAAGTAATAATAAAATTTTAGACCTAAAATTGTGCGTCAAATTTTTTATTTATGGGTCATATGGGTCAACATGAAAATAACATAAAAATAAATAGGTCAACACGACACGATTAATTAAATAAGTTAAATTAAAATTGACGAATGCTCAACACGAATCTCAAAAAATACGACACGAAGACAATCCAATAGAACACAATTGCCGGACTGTACACACAATACAATCCATGGGCTTAAGTACCCACCCCGACCAAATAAGAAGTTGTTGGTTGGATTAACATTTCTAGCTTAATCAAGTTCTTATTGGGCTGGCCAATTGTATTTTCCGAGGATTGTTATGCAGTAAAAGTCCTGCACACATGATTATTTGTGTGAAGAGAAAAATTGGCAGTTGAATATGATTATTTCAAAAGAAATGAAAGGAAATAATGATGTTTTAGGAGCGGTTAAGTGGGGTTAAAGAGGGAGTTACGAGTAACTTAGAAAGTGGAGTGAACATCAAACCCGTTCTTCTCCCCCTCTCCTTTTATTAATAGTACAGATTTAATATTTAATTTTGCAGTATAGATAGATAAATATGTTATACTACTATTTACTATTTTATCTATTTGTTTTTGAGTATCAAGAAATTAAAGCATTTGTACATTATCACTACAATGGAGACTCAACATTTTCAAGAAAAACCCATTTACATACTTTTTTTATAATGGGCTTCACCACCTGAAAATGGGTAACAAAACACCTTTTAGGTTGGACTTGGGCTACAAAACATCCTATGATGCCAGTCTTGCATTTGATACAAATTTTAAGTAAAAATTGGAAGTCAGTCCTTATATGTACTTGTTTGAAAATAAGTCTTGTAAAGAAACTTATAAGGGGTTAAATTCATGTTTAAAATTATATGTAATGACTTAAGTCCATTTTTTTTTTATCTCAAAAATATCCTTGGAAGTTAATCTTTTCTCTCTTATATCTATCTATATTCATATATAGGTAAAAAGTTTAACTAATATTAAAATTTTCTCTCTCTCTTATCTATTTATATATATATATATATATATATATATATATATATATATAGTAACATTAAAAAAAATAGTAATATTCAAATACAAAAAAAAATTATTATTATGAATTTAAATAGTAAAATTCAAATTCATGTTACTATTTTTTTTTATTATGTTACTGTTCATGTTACTGTTTTTATTGAGTATGTTACTGTTCATGTACTATTATTTTTTAGCATGTTACTTTTTTTGTTAACCATGTTACTACTATTATTTTCCTAAATATTAATATTCAATGTTACTATTTTTTTTTGAATATTATTATTTTTTGTATTTGAATGATACTATTTTTTGTGTTTGAATTTAAGAGAAATAATTATTGTTAAGTATGTTACAATTTTTGTTAAGCATATTACTATTTTTGTTGAACATGTTAATATTTTGTTGAACATGTTACTTTTGTTATTTTTTAAAAATATTAATGTTGAATATTTTAATTTTTTTATGTTTAAATGTTATTATTTTTTTTGTATTTAAATGTATTATTTTTTGTGTCCAAATAATAACNTATATATATATATATATATATATATATATATATATATATATAAAAGAGGAAAAATTGTAATGTTAGTCAAACTTCTAAGATTTAAGAGTTTTTAATTTTTAGTTTTATTTCACTTCTAAAGGGAAGGGATAGTATGGTAAAATTGAAAAAAAACGGACTTCATAATAAATAATTTTCTTTGATGAACTTAAGTCTAAACAAGTCCATATAGGGGGTCCGATTTCCAAATTTCTCAAATTTTAGATACAAGGCTAGTAGCATTGAGATGTTTATGTCAAAATAAGTCAAAGGGCAATCTTAATTGGAGCTAAGTTTAATGGTTTTTGAATTCCGGTTTCAACATTTTATAATATAAAATATGATAGGTTTTAATAAGTTCATCTGACAATTTCAAATAGACTCATCCAACAGCCACTAACTTCCATTTTCAAAATCATTTACACTGAATTCACCCCCTTCCTAAGTCTATCACTCCTCATTTATATTGCATCGTGTATTCAGGCAATAGTTAATGTTTGACATCTATAATACATTAAATAATTTCTTTTCGTTGGTATTTATATAAACACAACACGAATCACAATCACACAATCTAAAAATAACAATACGCGGATGATACGACACAGCTAAAATTAACACCGGAAACACATTGGAATTGTAGGAAATAATTTTGTGTACATTCATTGGAACAAAAGGTCTTTTTCAGGTATCTTATTTTTTGGGGGTAATGTCATGTCACATGGTGAAATTAGAAAATATTGGATTGGCTTGCAACTAGACCTTAAAATTGCACCATCATCATTTATATGTGTTTTATAGGAAAAATTAAGACAATTTAGGAAAATAAGGAGTCCATAAGGCATTCATAGTCTCCTTGCATTTCTTGTTTTCTTTTTCTTCTTCCCTTTCTTTTCTTATTTCCTCAGCCTTTTTAGTTTTTAAATTGATTGATCCAACCATTGTGTCCCTTGGTATAGGAAGAGAGAAGTCCCCTTGCAATGCAATATATGTTGTTTGCAAAAGTCAATGGTGGATATGTTTGATTGATCCATTGATAAATTAGGTTGTCTTGTACATCATTATAAAAATAGTTGACTTTGCTATATTGTTTTTTTTCAGCATGATCATAATCATCTTTATATTTCCTCGTGTTTAAGCGTAGTAGAATTTTGATCCAAAAAAAAAAAGCGTAGTAGAATGCAACAAATTCAAATAAAATTGATTTTTGAGTTGTCTCTCCGTGTGTCAATAGTTAAGGCGTCGAACCTCCACTTATTTTTATTTTTGATATTACGATCAAATGTATTTGTGTCAGTTTATGCAATGTAAATCTCAATTGATTTCAAAACAAGAGATGTAACGACAAACAACTTTTTTAGGGAACGAGCATCAATCAAATGGAAGCAGCAGAACAACTTCACTTTTTTCGTCATCCTGATTTCTAAAATGTGTTTCTAGGATTCTGAGTTTACAAGCAAAGGCTGTTGCAAAATGCTATTAACTCATTTGATGTAAATTTGTCACCAACTGATGGGCTCAAGTCCAACAATAATGCCCACTGGTCTCCTTGAGCCCAACCATCATCATGTCCACATGTCTTCTGTTGCCACCAACCACTCAACAGATGCACTCCCACCACTGTGCAAAGGTACTTCATTGTACGGTTAGATCACAGCTGGGCGGACAGGAAAAGTGATTTTTCCTTGTATTTTCTCTTTATTTTAGATAAAATGTCAAATTAAAATTTTTCATACTTTTTCTATGCTATTTTTCTAATGGTAAAATGATTAAAAAAACATGAATTGCTATTTCTTAATTAATCTGAAAAAGTTCAACCCTATACCATTTTGATGACATAACATGTTACCCAAAGATTCAACCCTAGAATGCCTGTGTCTAATATTTCCTTGAACATAGATATAGACTCCATTACCCCAATCTTTTGTTTTTTACTATATAAACTTTTATCTCACTTAATATTCTAGATGCCACCTTGAGGAGGCTCCTTGAATTAAAAATTATTACAGAATGGTTTCCTAGAAGTTTTGCATACTACGTGCACATAAAAAAGAAAGGTATTCAAATACAATTTTAAGAATTGTAATATAAACATTGAAATAAATAAGTTTACTCTCTCATTATTGTCAAAATATATTGCATTCTTCGTGTTTAATGAACTTTGAATTAGCACAGGAATATAAAGAATTTTCAAAATTAATCTATAACAATAAATTTCACAAAAAATGACGTTGACTTTGATATCATAATTTTTACGGGAGCAAAATAACATGAGATACAAAATGTACACTAGATGATAATGTACGAGTGAAAATCTTTTTGTTTTGAGAAAGATGAAGAATTTTTTTAAGGAAATTTTGTTTTCATGAAATGTAAGATTTGGAGTAATGGTTTTTCTTTTTCTATCCACTTTGGGTGAAAAGGGAATGGGTATCAGAAGAGTCCAAGTTAATCTTTACCAATTTCTAATACGTTGCATAAAAACTATTTGGAAGTTTCTACCCACGAAAAGTGGAGTAGTGGGATAGGGAGAGTCCAAGGTTGTGTTTGGCATAATTTCTGGTAACGAAAATTCATTTTAGAGATAAGACTTTACCAAAAGGACTTCCTAAGGTGGACTTTTAAGAAATGCAAATTGTTTGGTAAACATTCATTTTAAAAGTGTTTATAATCAAAAATTGCATCTATCTGTATGAAAATGTATTTGGTGGTAACCTTTGAGAAGTGTAAAATTTTATCTACTTAACAACATTACCTTTTACTTGATCACACACATAATTATCTATTTTAAAATTAAATTTAATTAAGCAGACAATTTAAATAAAACCAACAAATATTATTGAAGAAAAAATTAAACTAAAACAATTCATCCTATCATTCATGGAACACCCACGACACGAGTGGAAGGAAAGACGGTGGG